TCTTGAAGCTTTTTAAAGTATTTCCAGACGTAACTTGCTGGCCGAGTGGTAGTTGAGGTATCTTCCGTCAGATTGGAGTGTTCGGGTTGGGAGGTGCCATCAGTATTTGCCCCAGATGCACTGCTTGGGGCTTGAGACATCTTAAAATAGATATAAACCACGTGAATGGTGGAATCTTGTGGATTGAGCGGGATAAGAGTGTGATGGAATGATTCGAGGAGGTGGGGAAGGTAAAGACAGAGTTGACTTGCCGATGGATGATGGGCTTGAACACAAATTTCAAAAAAAAAAACGAGAACAGGCCTTTTTCGGCTATAGCGGCCGGATAACCGGCGGATAGCCGGTTCGGTTGTCGGATGGAGGATTATTTTAAAAAAAACCAATCGGATGTTCTCCGATTGGTACGGATAGATTAAATATCCGCCGGTTTGGTATTCGGATGAGGCTAGAGACGCCGGATATCGACCGGTGCCCATCTTGAGCGACATGTACGGTACTGAATGACCCGAGAGCTCAGTTTTGTTAAGGTACTGTACTCGGTATTGTACCTGACCCGGCGATACGATACCAGTATCGGACCAGCCAGTACCGGGATTTGAGGTATGATACCAATACAGTACCTGTACTATTCCACCCTGTTCGCGCCCTTTGCCCATCCTCACACCCTCACACCCTTTGACCAGCACAGCCCAACAGCCTAGACTCAGCACACACCCTCAAACCACGCAGCCAACCCCATATCCAGACATTGGTTCTGCCAGATTGGTAAGGTACATCACATACTAGTTTCTGTTTGATCTTTTTCTACCTAATCTGCACCCTTTGTACTTTGCCTCACTGACCCATTGTGTCTTGATCTAGGGATGTGGCTATGGCAATGTGTCACAGTTTCAAGAGGCTTTATATGGAGGATCTAGAAGCTATGATCTCGACATTGTGTGCCCATTCCAATCTTTTATTATTTCCTTTTATTATTATAATCATTAACATTTTTCCTCTTTTGCACTTCCCATAGTTCTATCTGCCCCAATCACTTGCTATCATCATCCATATCATCAAAATTACACATGTCTTCTTCATCTACCCCAGTCAAATCTTGCTCAAATGTTTGTCGTAGTACCCGCCCGTCCCCAGTTAGAAAGCAGTCCCACCTTATTGCCTCCCCTTCTGATTCTTGTTGTGCAATCCAACGCCAAGATGAGGATGATGTATTGAATACCTCTGTCAGTGTGTACCAACCCTCCTCCAAACACAAGCGCATCAAAATGACAATGGATGATGCTTCTTTGGAACACTTGAACTCCCAACCGCCTTACAATAAGGGCAAAAAAACCCACAAATTGTCCAATAAGAAAAGCACAGATCAGTCAAAACAGAAAGCCAGCAAACCTGAGGCAAGCAGTCAAGGTTTAAAAGTCAATGTTGACTTGACACAGGACTTCAATGCGGAAAATGATAAGTGTGAGGAGTCAGCAACTGTTGGGCTGACTCTTCACTAAAAAAAGGCAAAGAGTAGACAAAGATGAAGTCTTCACTTGGTACACCCAAGTGAAGACTACGGTTAGTTGACCTCTGAGGAGAGGATTTATAGCCAGTGAGATGGCTGAGTAATCCCTCTAAGGATCTTACTTGGAGCTCTGGTTGATCTTCCAACTCTGGAGCCTGCAGTGCTTTAGCCTCTGAGGATTCAGAGGTGCCGCTGGGTACTTTAGACTCTTTTGAAGAGGAACCCTTTGTAAATTCCAAGCTTGTTCTGCTAGCTATTAATCCCACCAGCTCAGAGCACCACTTGAGGTTTTACAATAACCTGAACAAAGATAGAAAAGAACTATGACAATCAAAGTACAGCAATATCACTTTACTAAATATTCTTGGTGAAGAATCAAGTAAATTGTGATGATGAGTTGTGTAATGATATGAAGTTGGTTCTTCTTCCAGAGTGAGAAGAAGAGGGGCTTATATATCCTAGACATAGGTGTCAACTTGTGGTTGTCACTTAGGTTTACTTCTTCTTTGGGTTAGGTTTGGGTTAGGTTTACTATTACTTATTTAAGTCATAGTAAGTCTTCTTACTTAAGTGACTCTTGATACTGAGCCATGAGATGTAATCTTTATGGTTTTAAACAAGTTACATATATTTAGATATGTATTTCATGTATTTACATGTGTGTTTGTTAGCCTGTGGTCCTGTACACAGGGCTCAGGGCTGACAATAAGGCTAAGACAAAGGAACATGATCCCTTTGATCCCGTCCGCAATTACTATGATGAAATGACCACAGTAATTGATGTAAGCGACTTCTATTTTTCATTTCATTTCTATTTTGTCATCCTTGTTGTTATTTTTCATTGGTATTCTCTCTTTGACAAACAAGCTATTGAACTGATTGAACCCTTTCAAATTATGTAGAAAAAACGGCAAACCAACAACTGCTTATCTGTGCAAATATTGTGGCTTCAAGGTTGTGTGTGCTCCTTCTTCAAGCACAAATCTCCTAGCTCATTGGGACAGTTCAAGACAGGACAGAAAGCCCGGTAAGCCTCACTGCCAACATATTTACCTTCAATTTTTCAATCCGAGGTATTGTCAAATTACAAACCTTGGACAGAAACTGTCCGAGATTTTGTCCAAGGCAATTCTCAGTGCAAAAGAAATTGTTGGACGAGAGAAGAAAGATAAAGGTAGTACAATAGTGATGTGACATCTCTCATAATTCTTTTGCATGTCATTACACACAACCAAAGAATTGCCAAGTCAGGCCATTTCCCAGAAACCAACAAGTGCTACTGTTCTGATTTACTAGTGAGTGTTGGAGCTTTTGTGAGTTTCCTGCAGGAGTTCAAACAACTGCCTAACTGATGCCTTCTACTCTTCATTTTGAATCATGTTCACTAGAAGTGTTTTCATCACTTCTGGATCTGCCATTGGACATGCTCTGTGTTGCACAGGTCCCATCCAAATACTTTTTGATTGTCACTAAGCTCAGTGGTTTTGATGGACTTTTGTCTGTTGTTGGGCCAGAATCACTAGCCCAAAATGTAGATTTCATTGTCTGATATTCAATGTGTTAAGCTAGAAATTTGTCTGAGGTACGTTGTTAGAGCATCCCCAGCTGTGTGCCGTAAACTGTGCCATACATAGATTTGAGGTATCTTTATTCACAGCTGTTACACCCAAAAACATATTTAGCTTGGGCAATTCTCTACGTGCAAGTCAAAATAGGCAAAATATGGTATTTTTCTACTTGCACCTTAAATCCTCCTGTACCTCACTTCTCTCATAAACTCTGACTTGTACAATTAGACTCTCCACAAATCATGCGCCTCTATAATCATCTAAGCCATAAAACTGCTCCCAAATTATGCTACTAGCCAAACTGTAGGGAATCAGTCTTTTCACAAGGCACAAAGTGTAAAGCGAGTCCATGACGACGTACCTCAGTATGAGTGATGAACAAAATCAGGTAGGAAGAGACAGACTTAACCCACAGTCCTCTTTTGGGTCTATACGGAGTTCTGGCAGTTTTAGTAAGCAAACAGCCTACGGTCATCTTTGCGTCACTGGTGGAAGTATAACCACAGATATGAATTCTCAAGTTATACTTAAGAATGGAGTTCACTACCAACTCTTCCTCCTATCCGCTTGTCCGTCTCTTCCATTTTAAATTTTTGTAAATCTGTCACACCCTATCCTGAATCTGTTTGCAAATTTTTCTTAACTGAAATTAACATCTCCTATTAAGAATAATTTTTGTCCATCCCACCCTCCCTTTTTCCAGGAGAGACATACCCCCCTGGGGAGACTATGGCTCTCCATGCTCACTTCTTTCTAAGGGATTCCAATTTCATGTTCTGTTTTTGATAAGGTCTTTGAGTAAATAGACTCCTCATCACAAAATTGCCAGAAAGAAGATGGATTTCCTCAAAACTGGCCCTCTCTTGAACCTCCGGTTGGGAGAGGGCCTGTAGCCCGTACAGTTATGTCCTTGACAGGTCAAAGACCTATTGAGGGCATAGCCTTTTCCAGAAAGAAAGAAAAATCGGAAGGATAAATGGACCACAGCTGTACATGCCTCAAATTTCATACCTCAAATGGTTCCCTAAACAATCTGTGCAACCCTCTGTACGTTACCAATTTACGGCACAGCTGGGGATGCTCTTATAACTTTATAAACTTGGCCATTCCTGAGATGTATCCTGCTAATTTCATTCTAGCCCAGCCTTCTATGGCTGTGTGACAGCCTACCCTGGATTTGTGCACCACTGCATTCCTGAAGTAGAATGGTAGGTCATTCATTGGTTTTTAGGAATAGGTTGGGTTCAGGAAGCAAGGTGTGTTGGTGGTAGTGTTGGTTAGTATTCTTGGACAATAGGGGGTTTCAAGTTAAGATTTTCATGGCATTTTTACACTACAACAACTGGTCCAAGACTGTAAAATTTACCACAAACGTGTAAAATTTGGCACAAATTTTTAGGTGTCTCAAGTGCTATCAACCATATATATGCAGAAAAAAAACACCATAAAATTTCAAAAAATTGTCCATTTTGTAAAGATTTTACACAAGAATATCCTAACTTGAACCTCCCTAATGAATTCTTTGAAGTCAGCCAGGATAGGCCCAGGGACCTTCAACATGCTTGAAACATGTTTCAATGAGTGGCACCCTCTGGAAAGCAGGTCGCTTGTGTCATCATCAATCCTTAGAGAACAAAAGGGCCATGTAGACTTCCGGAAAGAACGAGTTGAAGAAAGATACTAAGGATTATCTTCAGTTAGAACAGTACAAAGACAATATATAGAGAATACATAAGCAAGGCCGTAAAAATTGATCTAGTAGTTGTTCTTTTACACGGTTTGGATATAAGAAAAGAAAGAGAACTCAAGTGTTAGAAATGTCAGGCCAGGTCGAAATATAGACAAAAGTGGTCAATTTTATATTGGAAAAGATCAGAACCTCTCATTTTGAACAAAACCTGAAATCTACTCACATCATTCCAGCCTCACCAATCTCTCTCGGTACGCCGGAGAATGAGTGCTTCAATTTTGCCTTGTTCACAATACTTCTCCAATAGAACCAATTGATCCTCAATTTCTTGATATTGATGAGCAAATTCAGTTGGACTCAGATATTCACTATGTGGTCTGACAACCAGTGTCTTGAGCTGAGGCCAAGGAGCTTTTGACAGAATCTTGTTTAGCGACTGACAATGCTCTAGTGACTTGTACGTCCCTTGAAGACAACTCATAGAAAGGCAGTTTTGAAAGCTGTCCAGTAGGGTCGCGTTCAAAGGAGAAATCTTCAAGTCGGCTAGAACCGGAAGAGAGAAACGTATTTGCGGATTCCAGGCAGGATCAACTGCCCCGATGTCATCTCCTACTGCGTAATAGAAGGAGATGTCAAGCTTTCTTAGGTGAGGTGTAATGTGTTGAATGATCCCATGTGCTGTACTTGGTAATAGACGCCAACAATCGTGAATTGTAAGCTCGGTGATGGTCCTGGGCCAATTGTAAAGACACCAGTTATCATGTATATCTATTCGACATAAATTCAATCGTGATAACGATTTTAGTTTTGATAGATTGAATCCAAAAGACGCATTGTCAAGTTTTCTATCATCATCGGAGGTTGAATGGCCAGTACATGTAAAGGACTCGAGCAAAGGTAGACTCTGAATAACTTTTGATGTGACTTCATTCTCGATAGTGCTTGCATAGTCATCCTCCAATGTCAGATGTCGAAGTTGTTTGAGACTTGCTAACAGCGGCACTAGGTCTATCATAAAGGCTGCTCTTCTACCCTCATCTTCAAATGGTTCATCATAGTCAAAATGAAACCTTAGCGTAGAAAGGTTAGGGCACCGATCTATCAGGTCTCTAATATTCTTTGGAGAGATCCATTTTATAGGAGGGTCATCTTGGAAGTCGGTTATAAGGTTATCGTAGAAGGGATCATAGTCTACAGGACCACCAAGAGGTACGCTACAGTTTTGGGAGAGCATGAGCGATAGAGACTGAACATAGGAGCCATGTCTGAGGAGAATATCGTTGGTCCATAGATCAATCGGTGCCGGAAGAGAAGTAGGAAATTGTAAGTTCTGGGGATCGGATTGAGTTATTGATCTTGATCAGTAAGGCTTCCTGAACCCCAAGTACGATTTGAGACCACTTACTCGTCATAACCATGGGCGACAGAGTTGATATACCTCACGAGAAATAAGTGAAAAGTTCTGGATGGTATTCAAGATTGGCGGGTGTTGGTGCAAGTAGGTCCAGTATGGCTTCCGGCCAGCTGAACCATAGATCATCACCTGGCCCTCTTCTCTTTTCTCCTCAATCTCCTCAGCTTCGAGCTTGGCCATACAATCAAGGTGTTCGACTATGTTGTTAAAAACTTCGACCGGTAGATCCATGAGGCCAACACGATGAGATTTATGTCGGAATTCCTCGTTTCGGATGACCTCTTCAACTTCGCTAGATGAAGTCTCAAGTCCTTGAAGAATGCGAGAATCGAGTAATTTGTCGACAGATGAGAAAGGGCCATGTGAACTTTCTGACAGACCGATTTGAAGGAAGATACCAAGGATCGATTCCTTTGACCAGATAAAGCCATTCGATTCTAGTTCATCGAAACGCCTTCGGATGAAGTCGAGATGTCGGTTTACTGGCGTAGTCCCCGCGTGGCGTTTAGAGACAATCTCGCGCCAAAGTGCAAGCTGAGTCGTGCGACTAGAGGATGGCATCTCACTCAATCCTTCGTCAGGATATGAGTTGAACTAGTGGGTTGTATCTTCAACAGTGTAAACGCTGAGAAGCTTCGCTGGAGAATGCTATGAATCGTCTCTATTTGATATCAAGAAATTCGAAGAGACTTGGATGCTCGCTCGAACGCTGTTGGTTCAGATGGTCAATATTTAGTCTGGGTCTGGGATCAAAATTCAAATATCTCGATGAGCCTTACATGTACATCATATACAAAGACACAAGGCAGACATATATCTACCATCATCAAAGTCTTGGCCTGCTATAAAGCAAATGATGGGTCTGTCGCAGCCCAATAGTCAAAAACAAACAATATGACTCTGAATCAGACAACGACAACTGCTCACAATTAGGAAGCATGGTTTGTTCAAGAGCTGGGTACCTATGGCAATCAGCTGGATATGTGAGAGCTCATAGCCCTCCTAAATTCTAATGCTACACTTACATTTCACGATGAGAACCCCTATTTCAAGGGGAGTGAGACATGATGTGTGGTCTTTTCTTGCAGGAACAGAATTCATGCTGACAGTGTGGTTCAAGACTTGGGATCCATCTTCTATCAGTTTGTAAGAAGTCTTGCACTATGTAGAAATGAATGAATTGACCATTTGTTTGAATGACACCACAAGCTGCATAAGGATATGTAAGAATTTAGCTGCGTAAGTACAGAATCATGATTCGAGTACTCATGATAGATCAATCTGAATAGGGACGATAGCGGTGTAGTTTGAGGAAAGTCAATCATGTCATTGTTGATTTGGACCAGCCGTACACATACAAATCCTCTGTTCTATAAAAACTACCTAACGATTTCTGGTGCGTTTACTTATGCGATTACTCTAAAGGTTGAGAGGCTTGTGCAAAAAGGCTTTCATGAGTTGTGAGGAGCGTCTGGGTTATACACGATAGTTTTATCACCGTCGGGAATTTGCGAGCAAAAGGTAATATCGGGGTTACCCTGTCCTGGAGCCTCCATTTTAGGAGTGACACCATCCCAAAACTCGACTGACAGTGCCCAACCCCTCACAAGTATGTAATCAGTTCCGTGTGCCATGTACGAGTTAACAGTTCCACCAGGAGCCGTCCACTGGAAATGTAAGGCAATCAGCGTTCGAGTACATTGAAAGGCTTGGGCCGGCTAAGGCTTTCGACAAATTCAAGCATGAGTGATGAATGTTTCAAACCTGAAATGTGGGATACCCATTAGGTATAAGATAAATCACAGCTGTACCGCAGCCAGAAGGAATCAGCTGAGATTCTTCTCGTATGGTCTGATTTGCGAACATTGGACTTACCACCAGACGACTGACCCTGTTCATCAGGAATTTCAAAAGTATGCGTAATGGGGGCCACTGTCGCCATGTTCATCCGCGCTCCCGCGACGCTTGGCGTCCTGTGAGAAAGACCAAGATTAGCATTGTACGATATATCAAATCTACAAGATGCGGCCACAGCGCTTACTTTACACAATTTTGTCCACCGAGAGCGCAACTCTTGGGCTCCCAAGCGTATGATTTGGCTGCGTAAGCTTCGTCTTCTGCAATGGCTGCGTTCAATGTGGCTTCAGAAGGCACCTCAGCAGAAAAACCAAATTTGGGGCAGGGAGGTAGAGCCCGCGGCATCAAATGGACCATAGGTGACACGGATCGAGGAGATATGACATTTGTCTCAGCTACCATAATGGCCTTGATGGAAGAGAGGACGAAAACAAAAGTGATGAGCTTGGTGAAAACCATGTTTGAGGTTCGAAGATGCTGAAGTTGAGACGAGACAAAATAATTTGGTAAAGCGATGAGGGCGACGGCAATGATTTGGAATGATCAAAGGCTTTAGAGAGCCATATTTTATATTCCGCGGTGGAAGTTGAAATCCTTGACTCGGGATGTTCAAAAATACTTAGTACCTCCGAGTCCCGGTGCTCCCGGAGCACCTCCGAGAGACAGCGTGGCACTTTTTCTCGAGGCTCAAAACGTGCAAGACGTCTGAGGAAATGTGGGCCAGCGTGGGACTTGGCAGAGTTTATTTGGAGATTCATATGTCAACTTCAACTTTCAAGCAATTGAACTTCCAATCTCCATCACGGAAGCAATGGAAAGTTGAAACTTACTTATAAGTCATAGCCTCGTAAAGAGATATCATACCTTGATTGAAATATGGCTATATTTGCTATGACCAGGTGTATGACCAAATGAAGGTTCAAGTCAAGAATGTCGGTAAGAGAAGCGTTTGACGCTGTGTGAATGAATTGGACTACGTTTCTTCCCTTCGGTTCTGAGAAATCTTCAAAGGTCCGACAGTTTATGATGTTTGCTGACGTTGTCCGCTGAGTTGGGCTACAATCACATTTCCGCATCAGCTGATGATTCTAAGCTGATATTGAACGTACGGGAATGATCGAGCAAAATATGCAACAAGCCAGGTTTTCTTTGTTCAATACCAAGAGCAAAATGTTATAATTGGCAAAAAAGTCCAGTAACACATGATGAAAGTTTTGATCAGCTGAGCTGATCGCTGATGGGGAAAGATTTTGGAGGAGCTTGATGCATTGTGTTTCAATCACATCATCAAGTCAATCTTTTCAGAGGTGTCTTGTGATGTAGAATCAGTTGAATAATCAAAGTGACCAGTTTGCAAGTTGTATATAATGCTGGAATCCAGAGATTACAGAAGAAGGAAAGTTGAAAAGGGATCAGACTAGATGATCATCACGCAAATATCAGAGTTTGAGCCAAGACATCAACATGGAAAACACTGAAAAGAGAAATCCAAGGGCTAAGATACAAGAACAATAAGGTTGCAATGTTGTCTAAGAAGAAAATTGATAAGAGTGGTCAAAATATAAATTCATATGTACAATGAGTATGTATAGTGCTGAAATCAGCAAGAGAAATAGTTGGCATTCAGTTATCCATTGATAATAGCACAGTCTGAAAATGTATGGAATCCACAAGCATATGTGACAAAAGATGGTCAAATGACTCATGTTGGATAGAGATCAACCAATTCATTCACTAGCAACCTTTCTCAAAGTATCAAAAAATGTTTTGCAATTTGTGAATTGTTTCTTGTTCTTGAAGCTTGATTGGTCCCATTTGATCCACGCTTTCCATAGACCCCAGAGCAAATGTACTGACTTTCTACCAGAACCATCCGGCAGAAGATTCAAAAGATATCTCAGTAGGACACTAGCCTGTGGGTTGTATTCATACTGAGATATCTTTGGTGCTGGCAGTGTAATAGCAGTGTCCAGATCTGGAGCTTCCCAACCCTTGAAGTATTCCATTACAAATATATACCCATCACTGAGTACCCCATCCACACCTCTATCTGGAGGACTTTCAGGATGTAAGATGTGGAGACTTCCAAAAAAGAAAGGAAGTATATGTGATCTCATCCTATTGATCACTGATCTGATGTTACCATAGAAGATTCCAGAAGGAAGATTTTTCTGGTCAAACCTTGCTTGCATTTTGTTTTCAAGTATTCCAAGCCATATATTTATGTACCGACCCAAACTGTTGTTTGTGATCATCTTGCCAATTTCCATTGTCCTTGCAACTTCATCTTTTCTTCCTCTTTGTACAGGCAAAGTATTTTTCAATGGCACTGTGGATATTGTTTTTTCAGTCTCTGTATCCCCTTTTTGACCATCCAGTCCTGTGTCAATTGCCATGACAAAGTCCGAGAGACTAAGATTGGATTTTTCCTGGTATCTTCTAAAGTTCTTTACCTCTGACCCTTTTTTAAAAAGTGAGAAATACACTAAGATAGGGGGATCCCCATTCTCTTTCATTGGCATTGAATATTTTGGTCTATATGTACACACTGTAATGTCAGATGACAGTGCTTTGATGTAACTTGATTGTAGAGAAACCATATAATCAAGACTTGAATCTTTCCAATCTTCAAACAATTGTGAGAGGAACATCCATCCATCCTCATATAATCCTTTCAGCTCTCCTACATCTTTCTGACAAACAATCTTGAGAGAGGCAAAGAATCCTAAGGTGATTTTTGAGTATATGTTTATAATGTTGTTCATCTCTTGCCATATTTGAACTTTATCATCCAACAAGATCTTCAGGGCTTTCAGTTTCTGAAGAAAAAAATCTTCCATGTTCTTGAAATAGGCTTCAATTTGGTTTTGCAAAGTGGCCTCTTTGAGCAAGAGTTCTCTTCCAAAGTGATGGAGTTGGTTTAAGAGATGATTCTCTGTTGATGAAGATGTGATGGGTTCCCCCACACCTATCTTCTGCCAAAAATGATCCAGTATTGAAGCTTCTAGATTCTTTGACATTTGATTGATTTGTGTCTTTTGAAACTTTGGAAGATTTGATCCACCTGCATTGGAGCTTTCTCCTTCCATATCCCCATGGCAACGTTTGGGTGAGAAATATGTTGATCTATTATTGATGAGCTTTTGGTTATCTCCTATCTTGGTACTTGTCCTTTCAGATGAAAGCTTAAATAAATCTTGGGCCCTATCACTTGATAATTCCTTTGGTAAATTAGGACCATGGACATTCTGTGAATTTTCCAGTTTCAGAATTACAGGTTGAGCAAGGGAAAGATCCAAATTCTGGACATCTTTTCCTGAACAGCCCAAGACTGATCCAGGTGGAGCAAGGGTTAAGTCTAGACTTAGACTAGGTGCCCTATTGTTTCTTGTGTCAGTTGAATGGATTGAAGAGGTTTGTACTGAGTTTGGGACAGAAGCATAGATGCCTGGATTTGAATGAAGATTTGCTATAGAACTTGGTGATCTTTGATTGTGGCCATGCATATCTTGATTAAATTCAATCTTATTCAAATATCTTCCAACTTGGTGTGGGTGAATATTTGAAGAGAATTCACTAGGACCCCAAGACTTATCCATGGGAAAACATAAAGCTTGAAGAAAGAAAGGACTGTAAATTCCTAGTAGGATGTTCATTTTGCAAATGGGGACTTCAAGGTAAGACTGGGCTCAGAGGCTGAGATGAAGGGTTCATGCTAAAAACAAAAGACATATTTCAAGAGCCCCGGGATACCTGAGACCTGTTTTTTGAAATAAAAAATACTGAAACAAAAACTCAATACCAGTAAGAAGTCAATCATAGGAAAACCAAAGCCCAAGACAAGTGTGAAGTCAAAAATACTGAACACTTCTGAATGCATGATTGAGAGCCAATGAAATTTGAAACAATCAATTTCAACTAAATCATTCCCTTGACAGGATGCTTGGGGCACTGGAGATCTTAGAATATGCCTTCTTTTTGAGAGTGTATATTTTCTATCAGACACATATCACAGCCAGGATCACAATTTGAAGATCATATCTTCAGAAAATTGATCAATATCTCAGATTGCTCATATCTGCTGATGATTTCAGAATTTAATGATAGTCAGTAATGATTTTTTTTCTAACTCATCCATCTCCCCTCTCTGCCTCAAACCCATTTCTTTTTAATCAGACACCAAGAAGAATATTTTCCATGTCACCTGTGATTCCCTGCTATATATATTTTTGACTCATACTTCATATATATCATGTGCTGTTTTACCCCAATGATGGAACTGAATAGTGAGGATGAAAAGGGTTTTTTGATGATTTCATCTATATTTAAAAATCAAGAATTCAAGTTTTTCAACTTTGTTTTGCACAATGCCAAAACCATCAAGGGTTTTTCAATGTACTGTGAATACTGGCATAACTGAACTGGGGCTTCCATGGAAGGTTCTCCACTGAAAGAAATGTGATGTGAGTTATGATTGACATGACATTGAACATCTGTGAAAAATTTGCCAGTGGAGAAATTGGCAAATTCTGCTGGGATGAACCAATTACCATGTGAATCAATTACCACGTTTCATGTCTCACAGCCCTCAGCTACTAGTCACTGGTAGGCTAGAGACTACCACAACTTCAATAATTTTTCAAAGTCATTTCAGAGAAATTGCAAAGTCATTTCAGACAAATTTCAAAGCCATTTCAGACAAATTTCAAAAAGTCTTCAGATGATGCCTGCAACCGTCTGGACAGTTTTCTAGACCAAAAAAAAAGAGTGTGGCTGCTGACCAAATGAAATAGAAGACCAATGACCTCCAAGGGAGTGAATTTGGCTCTACAGTGCATACATGTTGTGTAAGGCGGATCCAGTCCTCAGAGATTACCCTCAAATGCCTAGATATAACTCTTACATGTCATTGATCCATTGACATATTTACCATTTATAATATCAGTGGGTTTTTTACAATCAAATTGTTATACATATTTAAGGTCCCTCTCAATACCACCATAAATTCAAATTTGTAGGCACTGTGGAAATCAGCACCTGCATGTGTGTTTCAATCCAGAAAGTACCTACAATGTGTATTCTGGGGGAGATATCCAAAAGAAGGTGCCTATATGGTTGAATCTGGTACTGTAAGCTGGAGTGTATTTCTCTACCTTCACTGGATCGGAACTTGGCACAAGCTCTTGAGAGAGCGGGGTTTTATCTAACCCCTTGTATCAATTGCCCATCCAGCAGTTGAGTAATCAGAAAAACCAGTAACCAAGAATAATAGAGATGAAACAATAAAAGAGAAAGCTACCCATAGTATACTTAATCCAGCAGTTGAGTAATCAGAAAAACCAGTAACCAAGAATAATAGGAAATGTTTTAAATACAGTCACACTCACAAAACTAAGTATAATGAACTGATAGTTAGGAGTGGCAAAAAAGCCCATCGGTCTGAAACCAAGGGACAGTAAATTTCAATCATCCTAAAACCTAACAACTCATGGTGTGGACAGCGGACAGCACTACACGTATCGTGAAAGAACCAAACTAAGAATGATAACTTAAACAAACATAAAAAACTTAAAAAATAGAAATACAATCTTTGAACTTCTTAAAAGAAAATAAACCAAAGACATTTCTTAATAAATAACACTGCCTGAAAAAGCTGAAACAATATAATACCTCAATAAACATAAGCTCTTCTAATAAGAAAGGGTGGAGAGGGTGGGCATCAAAAAATCACAACACTGACTATGAAGTTTTGCGAGTGAAGTGATGATAACAAGAGGAAGGAAATCTGACGATGTGGTAAACAGCTGTGACGTCATTGAAAATCAAATTGAAGTAAGTAAAAGAATCCGACCCGTCAAATTCAACTTGTAATGTAAAAAGTCCTGTTATTTAACATTCCTATCTGTTAATAACAAGTGACCAACTTCAAAGATGAAACAATAAAAGAAAAAGCTACAAGGAAAAAGGAGAGTCAGGGGGAAGTCTTGAACAACTAATAATCCCAGATGTCTGAACCCATGATGAACAAAACTCATAATACAGCCCACATTACACTTCCACCCTTGCAGGTACCTATATTTTGACAAACTCATATAGGCACTGTCTTCTGGAACTTACATCTCAAATCTTGGGGGAATATTAACACATGTGCTAGTTTTCCAGCATCTTTTCCGTCCACCAATACCCTAATCATAACTCAAAATTTCTATTCTGTCCACCAATATCTTGATTGTAACTTGGAATTTTTCTTCCATCCACCAATATCCTGATTGTAACTTGAAACATTTTTGCTGTTCACCAATATCCTGTTGTAGAATAAGGTACTGTTGTGTCAAGTACATCACGAATCAGGATGGTAAAGGGGTGTGCAGGATGAGGTTACGATGCTAACAACGTGAATGTTTCAGTAAGACAAAATGGGTTACATCAAGAATGAAGAACTCACTCAAATCATCTTATGAACTGTCATCTATTTCCCTTTTTGGATTCTTGTGTAGTAGTGTTTCTGTTCTCTCCGTACACTTGTCCCATTTGGATCAGAATCCTCTCTTGTCCACATTTTGTCAAAAAATTTCCCTTTGTCGTTTTCTAAATTGTCTAGACTCTTATACTCTCTCTCTCTCAGACTCTGAGTTTGTTCCTCACCGTTAGGAACATGAACACTCAGAGTAAGTTGTTTTACTTCTTTTTCTTTATCCTACTACTTACGAACTTGGACCAAGCTCACTCTTCTACGTAGTTCACTTCTTTTTCTTTCTCCTGCTTTCTCGCAGGTAAGAGCGTGATCATCCGCTGTGTCTACCTAGTATCGAGTTCAAACAAGAGCTTAAATCATTTCACCTGTCTGTCCAGGTAACAATGTGATCATCCGCTGTGTCTATCTAGTATCGAGTTCAAACAAGAGCTTAAATCATGTCACCTGTCTGTTCAGGTTTATCCCAAAGCTCTTTCTCTGTGTTGATATCAAATCTGCATCTTACAATTTCATATCCAAGTCATGACTCAAAATGTTTCATTGTGACTTGAAATTTTCATTCCATCCACCAATGCCTCAATAAGTGCCCCCAGGCAAAAATAGCCCTGCATCCATGTTGATACAGCTTGAGTACCCCCTTGATGGCCAGCAAGGGGCCCTGAGGTTGAGTTAGCCCCATGGTCTGTACCTTCTTCATATGGCTATGGTACCTCCTTGATGGCCAGGCATAACGTTGACATGTCATTGATTCATTGTCATTTATATCATCATTGTCAGCCCTGAGCGCTCATTACAGGACCACGGGCCAACAGTAACACATGTAATATTATAATAATATTGTATAAACCAATAAGTACTAAGGCTCAGTGTCAAGAGCCACAAAAACACATGTACATAATGTATTGAATACATAACAAACTTAACCTAAGTGCCAACCACAAGTTGAATCAAGGATCAAACATCAACCACAAGTTGACACTTGACCCGTGAATATACAAGCCCCCCTTTTCTCCCTTGATTCATCCCCCATCCTTTAACACATCACAACATCAGACTCACATCATACTTGAAATCCTATTAAGAGGATCCTTGAGTACATGTTTAGTTGTGTAGTCCAAAGAGAAAACTTGAGCATCACAGGTCCCATTTCTGAACACCCTTGGTAACGAATTCTATGAGTCCTGGGCAATCATAGTCTCTAGAAAAATACCTTAAAGTAGCAAAGCTTCCTCCCTTACACAGAGTCTAAAGTAGCCTTCAGGATCTTTGGTTCACCAAAGTGTAAAGCCTGCCCCTTGTAGTCTCATGAGCTTAGAGCATACTATCTCTTCACTGCCCTTAGTCTCTTTTTCTCTTCCTCAAATCCTCTTTTAAGAATTCAACTAGCTGTAGTCTTCACTTGGCTGTACCACACAAAGACCACACTTTACCTTTCTTATCATATTCTTAGTGAAAGAGTACATACACTCAACTGACACCCACTCCTCACATCACTCATAAAAGTACTTGTACAAATTCATATCCTAAAGCTAAAAAATCTTCCAACAAATACTTTGGATTCTTAGAAGAAAATCATCATTGATCAAGGGCACAATCACTTAGAGCGCGTTCACTTAGCCCGCTTTTCTAGAAATCAGTTTCTAAGGCACCACTTTCGTACACGTACAAAAGTCTTTTTATAGTAAAATGCCATAATTTCACTTTTCAGATGAAGGACATCAAAATTCATCTGAGAAGTGTTCACTTTGTTAACTTTTTAACAACAACACATTCTAAGATCGAATTGGTGATGGTACAAACAACCACCACCAATCATGTCTGATTCATCCGGCTCAAACTCCTCAAGGTCATCAACCTCATTGAGAAAAAGCAATCTTCTCAAGATTGTGATTCAAGCCGGAAAACAATTCCTAGATACTTTGAATACCATTCCAAAGATTCCATGTCGAACGTCCAAGCTCCGGGGGAATCATTATACCAAAGAAATTTTAGAAGGAAGTGACGTACGCTTTCGAGAGCTGTGTAGAATGGACAAACTTGCCTTCAAGGGCTTAATCAAAGCCCTTGAAGGCAAGCTCACTGTCCAACGCAAGAGAAGTGTGACTGTGGAAGAGCGTGTTATGATTTTTTTATTCATTGTCGGCAACTCGGGTTCTAATCGACTGGCGGGTGAACGATTCCAGCGCTCTGGTGCCACCATCAGCCGCTATTTCAACAAGGTTCTCAATGCAATCACCTCGCTTCAATCTATCTACATTGTCCAACCTATCGCAAATGGCCTATGTCCGAAAGAGATACGGACAAATCCAAGAATGACTCCTTACTTCGACAATTGTGTGGGTGCAATTGATGGCACCCACATCCCTTGTATTGTACCTGCGGATCGCAAACCAGCACATCAAAACCGAAAAGGGGACATCAGCCAAAATGTATTAGCAGCTTGTTCTTTCAACATGCTATTTACCTTTGTGTATGCCGGATTAGAAGGCTCTTACGCAGATGCTCGAGTACTTCATCAAGCACTTGAAGAGGGTCGATTCGTGGTTCCGACAGGTACGTGATCAACATACATCATTATGCAAATGTTTCACTGATTTGTCTACGCCTTTCAGACCACTTCTATGTTGCGGATGCTGGATATGCAAATGTGCCAGGATTCCTGACACCTTATCGCTCGGTTCGATATCACCTCAAGGAATGGAAGCACTCCGGCCTCGCACCACAAACGGCGAAGGAACTGTATAATCACCGACACTCATCACTTTGAATCATAATTGAACGAATCTTTGGCGTCAACAAGATGCGATTCCCAATCTTAGCTTGTATGCCGGCCTTTCCTTACAAAACCCAAGTAAGGATTGTGATTGCTTGCTGTGTCTTACATAATATAATTCGACTTGAATCTGGCAAAGACGACTTTTACGAAGAGTATGCATTGAAGGAGAGATTAGAAGCCAGGTTAGCCCGTGATGATGACGACCCTGAGTGGGTCGCACCCACGCCTGCTCAGCGTACTCAAGCAAATGACATGCGTGATCATATTGCTGAACAGATGTTTCATGATTATACGCATGCTGCCGCTGCTCGCCGACATGTTTGATGGTATCAATTTATACAAGTACTTTAATAATTTTCATGTTTTAAAATTTTTATTTTCATTCACATCGCACCTCTCTGTATCACAGTCTCATTGTTTAAAATATATATTTATTTAACCAGCCAATTAAACACACATAAAGCCCTCTTTTAAAAAGTCACTGTTGCTTTTTGATGAGTGAATTTTGCTTTCCAACAACTCTTGCTTTTTGAAATGCAACTCTAGCTCTTTGACAACCAACTCGTGCTTTTTGAAAACCAACTCGTGCTTTCTAAAAAGCAACTCTGGCTTTTTGAAAAGCAACTCTGGCTTTTTGAAAAGCAACTCTTGCTTTTGAAAAGCCAATTTTGCTTTCAATCAGCTCCTGCTTTTTGTTGATGCCATATAAATACTGGGGTTGCAAACAATTTTGCCACCTACCTAACCATCTCAACATAACTCCCAGCTTAATTTTTTAAATCACCTCAATTGCCGTCTGTTGGAAGGCAGTGTGCCAAATCAATAAACCAATTGCCCGTTCCTTTTCATTCATATCAATCGCTGTTTGTTCGAAGGCAGTGTGCCAAATGAATAAACCGATTGTCCATACCTCATTGTTTTATCAATTGATGTTTGTTGGAAGGCAGTGTGCCAAATCAATAAACCAATTGTTCATCCTTTTTTAATCACATCAATCACTGTCGAATTTTAATCTCAAAATCGTTTTATCATACTGATACTTCAAACTAAATCATTCGGTCAACAAAACAATATCTAAGCGATCAAGTTTTAAATCAGTGCATTGCAAACTTAAAAACACAAAGTTATTATGTATTTAACTGCTACAGCTTATTGAAATTGCAAACTTAACCAATTTTGAAATGAAAACTGATTAGAAAACAATACAACAAAAAAGAATGAAATTATAAGAATAAGACCTTTTAAGATATATTGATCATACGATCAAAAATAAAGATAATAATATAAATCAGTAATAAAGATCATAATTCAATTTTCAAACCTCCTATTGATACTCTGCTAAGACTCCAGCTTCCTCCTTCAACCAGTTCCACCTATGATCCTCATGCATGTGGAAGAAGAAGGACGCTACATCATCATCTTTTAATTTACTTGCTACTGTGTAAATGAGCTCTGGTTTGAGTTCAATGTTACATCCAGCGTTGAAAATACTCATTGCTTCTTGACGTTTCGGATGTTGTTCTAACTTCAACCTTGCAATCTTGATCCGATCACTTTCAGCTTGTTCTTCCAGATCCACTGCACGATTGATTGATTGAGAGACTAGCTTTGGTCCAGTGGTGCGAGATCGTTTTCCTGATGAAGTGGACGCATCTCTGTCAATCGGTCCTCTTTTGCTGCGTACAAACTTCATCTCAGGAGTTTCTTCTTCTTCTTCTGCAAGTTGTCGCTTAGCAATTTTCAGATGCCTCGCAAATGGATTCTTCTGTATTTGATATCGATAAAACCAGTTAGTACAAATCTTTAGATGACTACTTTCTTTTATTGATGATTACTGACTTTATTATTGGTTTTTCCAGCTGCTTTACCTTTTGTCGATTTTGAAGGACGATCCAACTCACTAACACTCCCATCACCATCATCATCGTCCTTGATGTCCTCCTCACTGTGATCAGTAGCCACTCTTTGGATTGATTCAGATTCAGATGGAAACGAATCTGTGAAGCATACAAGATGTTGAATGAACTGGTCAATTGAGTCGGATCTACAATGATCAAATGGTTAAATTAACTTACCATTTGCTGCTTCCTCATCTACATCATCAGTTCCCGGTGAAGCCGATTGTCGTTTCTTGCTTTGCGTCCCAAAGCCTTCAGCACCATTCGCTCGGAGGTGTTTCGCAGGCATAATCGTGCCAACAGCTTTATAAGCTGGGAAACTATGATTTTTGATAGGGATAGCATCTTTGTTTCCATCCTATAAGCAAACAAAGATAGAAAAAAGAATTCACCAAACGATGATATGAAGATCACAACAATCTTACTTACTGCCTTGATCCATTTGTCCCACCACTCTTTGTCTGCAGTCACTATTCCCGTTGTTGTATCACAACCAGGAGCTCCAGACGAGTCCATGATCTTATCGAAGGCTCGGTAAGTTATCTTGAGCTAGATATTGAGGTTTCAGTAAGGTCAGTTAAAGGTAATCCAATACAAAATAAGGAAGAGAATTCATTGATTACCTTCTGGATATGATTTTTTAACCGAGTTAATCCTTCCTTTGTTTTCCATCGTTTGTTGTAGGATTCAAGGACTAGTTTCCACGCTGCCGTTTTCAGTCCTCCATCATTACCATTTCCAAGCTCGATTTGATGGCAATACTCATCAATCAGCCAAACGGTGCACTTGTGCACCCAATTGCCACCACTAACTACAATCCCATGGTCATCATTATCATCATCATCTTGACCTTCATCTTCAGCTTGATCATTACTTGATTTCTCATTCTTATCATTTAATTTCTTATTATTTGATTTCTTGATGTTTGATTTCTTATCGGTTGATTTGTTTTTTTCTTTGGTTTTGATCGATTTGGTTTTGGAAGCTGATTTTTTTTTCTTGTTTGATTTTAATTTGGTCGGAGCAATTTGAGTCGAAGTTTCATCTTCGTTGTTGCTGTTGTTGTTTGATTCATTTTCGGACATTTTTGAGGTGAAAGAGGGATGAAGAAATGGAATGGTCCGATGAGAAAGGAAGGGTCAAGTAGAACTTGAAGAGAGGATGATCGGGTCTGATATGGCTTTGGAGTTTTGGATGGGGTTTGGTGGGTTTTGTACGTTGGACACGAACTTGTCGAAAATGGTCAAGAGGACAGAAAGAGCAAAAATCAAGTAAAATTCGCTATTATCGAATTGTAGAAATCAGCTTAAAAAGCTATTTTTATAAGCATTCTGTACATTACAGAATGCTTGTAAATAACAAATCAAACACTTTTTACAGAAAGCGATTTCTGTTATGTGTAAAAAGCAATTTCGAGTCAGAAATCGCTTAAGTGAACGCGCTCTTAAGCAATTTCTGGTGAGAAATCAAATTCTGCAAAAATTTAAAGTGTCTATTTGGTGGTGCATGTTTGATTTTTGCATTTTAAAATTTACAGAATTTGATTTCTGTTCAGAAATTCCTTAAGTGAACATGCCTTAAATCTTAAATATTCAATTAAACATTAGGGGCTCTCAAACCTGACCCGGTTTTCAAAAAACCCAGTTGACCCAGTTGACTTTTTGGCAGTAACTTTGTATATAAATTTGACATTTATTGACAGCTCCCAGCCAAAAACTCAACTGGGTCAACTGGGTTTTTTGAAACCGGGTCAGGTTTGAGAGCCCCTATTCAACAAAAAGAAAATCAATTATGCATACGTTACACATAACCTTTTATTCATACCATATTCTATATAAAAATCTTTATCATAGAAAATCAAAATCATCCCAATTAATTAAATTAAATAGTAAATTAAGTGAAAGAAAATCATGAGTTAAATAATTAATATATAAGAATACAAAATTTAAAGGTTTCTCATTCTTTTCAGAAAAACAAAAATCCTTTCTTAATGCAAAATGTTGTATAAAAATGTTTTTTTAAGGAAAAGATAAAAACTTTAACTAATAACTAACTGAAAAAACAAAAAAAAGCAAATCAAACAAACAAAAAAACTCCATAAATACAAACCAAACAAAACATAAACCAAACAAACCATAAATCAAACGAATACTTAATATATAAAAAATGCAAACCAAAAATGAATGACTAAAATCAATTCAAAGTATAAGCCCTACACCCCATCTCATCAGCCGGAGTAGCCCTTTTGAAAAGCTGATGATCCATTCCAACTTGGTTACCTAATCCAAGACTTTCTAAATCGATTCCTTCATGATTTCTTTCGACTCGAATCATCACTTTTTCATTTGAATGGGTTTCATTTCTTGAACTTTTCATCGTTTCTTGTGATAAGTTTTGGGTAAGTCTTCTTGTGTCGTAAAATTCAATAACTGATTCCAAACCAATCCAAAAAAATCAAATTAGGTTAGTTTTTTTTGATTTGGAATTTGTGAGTTGAAAGAGAAGAAAATATACTCAACATTGTTCATTCATTATATGATGTTGTGCACCAGCATACCTAAACCAACCCAAAAAAAGACAATTAATAATGTTGTTGGGAATATGATTGATTTTGTTCAAAACAATTGTATTTACCTACGATATTCTTCAAAAATCGAAGCAAGGTTCCATCCCTGTAATTTTCTTAAACAACCAATAACCGTACCAGTCCTATGAGATCCACCAGCACACATAATCCTAAAGAAAAACAAAAAAACAAAAAAAAACATTGAGTTTTGAAATAAGAGAATTTGAAGAGTTTAAGAAATATGGATGACCAACATTAATGGATACAGTTTTGGACTTAAGATCAACCGTAAGGCTTCTGTTACTGCTTCATCTGTGACTTCATCAATAGCAGCAGCATGTAAGATTCCTAAATCATAAAACTTGACAGTCGAACTCAAACATTCTCGACTAAACCGCCGCCCCAAAACCAAACAACCCAAAAAGCCTCAAGATCTTTTCATCTCATCAAAAAAAGAGATAGAGAAAAAGAAACTTACAAAGAAGAAGAGATAGGTCTAGGAGCTAACCAAATCAAAGATTTCAAATTCAAAGACAACAAAAACTGATGACTCAATTCATTAGGTTCACCCGATCTGTATAACCAAGATTCGATAAAACCAAAGTTAGGAGGAGGGATCCATTTAAGAGAAGCTTTTCTTAGTCTAGAAGGTAAACTAGGTAACGGATCGAATAAGTTTGGATTAGATGATGTACTTGAAGACGAGCTTGGGTGATGGAAACTTGAAGGGTTTGAGGCTTGTTGATGGTTTGATGGTTTGGGGGTTGAGTGTTGGGTTTGGTTGAAAGGGTTTGTGGGATCGGTTTGAGAATTTGATAGTTTGGATGAATGGGGTGGTGAAATTGATTCTGGATTGGGTAAAAACAGTTGGATGGATTAGGGTTTTGGGTTTGGGAAGGGTTAAGGTGATGAAGGTTTGGGTGAACGTACGGTTGATGAGAGTGATGGGATGAGATCGGTTTAGTTGATGATTTGATTGAGATTGAATTGAAGTTGATGAGGAGATGGAAGTGATTGAAGATGATGAAGAGATGGTTGATTTGATATCTGGTGAAGAGACTGTCAAGTTAGTGGGACTGAGTTTAGGTCGAATGGGTGTTTTGAGATGAGCTTCTTCTTTCTTCATGATGTTTGGATTTTTTGGAAATTTTGGAATTTCTTTTTGAAACTTTTCAATCCAACTTGACATTTATATTCACTTGACTCGGCCCTGAACTTCAAACCAGCTCGGGTCGGATCATCAGCCAACTTCAATCCAACTTCACAAATTACCAAAATCAAAATACCTCAAACTACCAAATTACCAAATCAAACAGTCAAGATGGTCAACAGCGCGATCAAACACCTTCAACACAAAGTAAATCATATCTTCATCACCATCATCATCACTAAACCTATCACTAACCAATCTTGATTTTCACAAAGGCAAACAGATCAGCCGAATTATTCGTCAACAACTAGTCAAGTCTCTCTTCATCCCTCTCAATCCATCAACAAAACCCCTAACGATTGAATTCCGGTTTGGGTTTTTTGTTGTTTAGTTATTCTACGTATGATTCGATTAATCGGTCTACTAATTTACCAAAACTTTATCATTCAGATGCAAGGATAGTATGGAATGGTAAACGCTTAATTTAATCATATTCTAAAATTTCAAAAGCCTTTATAAAAAGTTAAAAATTGAAATCTTTTGTTTTTTTGGGGGGCGGCGTTTAGGTAATGCGATTAGTGGAATTCAATCTTTATCAAACCAACTGATCAATCAATTACCATTCACAAAACACGAAATCCAATCCTACGACTGTCATTTAATCTCAGGTAAACCTCTCTCTCCCTCCTCTGAAAACCGCATCAAACTAATTCCATTTTCTTTTTGCGTGGGTGGCTGGGGGAATAGAAGCATCACAAGCTCAATCACCCGATTCATCACCGACTCTATCAATCACGATCACAGGACAATTAATTTATGCATCAACTTCTTTTCCATCAACTTACATAATTCCGGATTACTTTAAATCATCTTCTTCTTCGAATCAGAAGAATAACTTGGATGAGAAATTAGATGGGTTACCTAGAATCTTTAGTCAATCTTTTATACTGGTTTCGGTTAAGAATCTTGAGAATGGTTCTGATAATTATCAAATCCTGGCGGATTCGTTTAGGTTTGTGGGATGAGTTGTGTTGAGTTTTGGTTTTTTTGAATACTACTTGTTACTGTTACTGCCTATTGCTATTTTGTGTGAGGTTTTGTATTTTATGATTGATTGAATTGGTTTGAATTACAACAAAAATCGAAAAAAAACTAAACTTGATAGACTTTCAGGTTATTAATACCCTACACACACTTTGGTTTCAATAATAACGATGTAAAGAAAACAACAACAATAAATGTCACAAACAAATTGTACAACATTCAAAGAACTTTTTGCTAATAAAATAGATAGAAAGAGGGAAAAAAGAAAATCATAAAATAACTTGATTGATGGTGATGAATGTCTTTCATTCTTTTGATTTGTATCGATCAAGTTCATGTTCATATAATTTATACTTTGCCCATCTCTTTAAAACCTTTTCACTTTCTTCTTTTTGTTGAATTAAATGTAATTGATCAGTTTCATAAAACACATCTGTCCACATTTGAGAAATCTCAGGTTTGAATGCCTATTCCATCCCATCCAAACCAAAGAAAAAAATCAATTCAATTCAATTTTTGAAAGATTTAATGGTAAGGAGTTTGAACTTTACTTTTTCGGCAAGTTTGGTGGATTTTGAAATTTTAGATTTCCATGAATCGATCAAATCTTTTTCTTTGGTTGAATTCCACCAAGTTTGATGTTCTAAAAACCTTCTCATCCGATCCACAGGATTATCTTTTTTTCTCCACTTTTTTCAAACCAAACCCAAACCCCAACCCCCACCCAAAGAAAAAAACCAAAAAAAAAAAAAAAAAAATCAACCCAAGAAATGAGAAAAAGAGAAAAAGAAATGAGAAATCAAAAAAAGAAAGAGTAAGAGATTGAAACAAACTTCATCAACTTCAGAACGGTTTCGATAAGCACTAGAATCATCTGAAGTCGAATGATGTCCCACTCTATAAGTCATAGCTTCTACCAAGATCGGTTCTCCTTCACCTTGGATAGCTAATCTTCTGGCTTCCTTACACGCTAAATAAACGGCAATCGGATCGTTTCCGTCTACTCTGATAGCCTTAATTCCATACCCTACAAACAGATACGCAAAAGGAAATTATGTTGGATTGAGGTTTTTTGCGGGATTGGGATTTGTGGATTGGGCTTACCGATGGCTCGGGATGCGATTCCGTCTCCTTTGAATTGTTGATTTGAAGGTGTAGAAATCGCAAATCCATTATTCTAAAACCCAAACACTCTATATCAAACCAAATCTGAAACCCCCAAATAAAGAAGAGGCGAAAAAGAAAAAGAAATTCACAAACTCTTATAAAGAAAACGATCGGACCACCCAGTACAGAAGCCATATTAACACCCGCATGAAAATCACCTTCACTAGCCGCACCTTCACCAATATAACACACCACACATCTTTTTTGGTTATCATCATTTTTGATTTTTTTTAGGTTGATGTCTCTTTTTAAACTATAAGCTGCACCGGATGATTGAGGGATTTGAGTGCCTAATGGAGAACTGATAGAGTAGAAGTTATGGGCTTTGGAGCTGTAATGGACTGGCATTTGTCGGCCTTTGGATGATTGATCTGAGTGGGTTGAGAAACATTGTGCCATTAAGTAATCTAAACTGTTTTTGAGTTTTTTTATAGGAACACAATTCACGGGTTTGATGATTAGTTTGTTTTTTCCTTTTGGTTGATGGATCGATGGATGGGGTTGGAATTTCGACTTTGTAAATTTAGTTCTTACCTACAACCTCTCCAAAGTAAAACACCTTGTTCTAACGAAACAAAAAACATTCCACCCAAATAAGCACCAAAAAAAACCAAAAAACATGATCAGTTTTCAAACCTCATCTAAACCAAAAAAAAACGTATCAAAAATACATCATCTTTTTCGGGGGAGGAGAAGAGGGGATGAATTAAGAGAACCGAACCTCTGTATTGAGCAAAGACCACATCATCTTGATTCCAAGCAGCACTAGACCCAACCACTGAAGCTTCTTCACCATAACTTGTCATATAAAACGAAACCCTACCTTGTCTTTGTAAATTATTCATAGTTGAATCTATCCTACACAAAAAAAAAACAGAAGCCAAAAAGAAAAAAAACCCACAAAAAATTAGGACTTTTGTTTTTGGAAAGAGGAATGGGAATGTGAAATTTACATGGGTAATCCTACCATTAATTCGTATATCTTTGTACTAAATGATATATCATTCATAGATAAAAGATTAGTTTCTTTTGAAATTAAATTTCCAAATGAATCTAAAACTTTAAATGTTTTGAAATTTCTTGAATCTGAGTCTGAATTTGGATTCATGATATATTTCGGATCAATGATAGGAGTTTGAGTTGAGTAAGAATTTCGTGATGGATCATAATTTCTTGTTGGTGCTATGGGTGTGGGAAATCGAGGGTTTGAGAATCGGTGAAAACTTAGAATCCGGTTCGGTGCACATTTCTTGAACATTTTTGGTCGCGGAGTTTCTTGAGGGTTTCGATTCGAGGTTTTTTGGTTTGAGATGAAAGAATTGTCGTGAGGTTTGATGAGTTTGGATTTCTTCAGGAACTTGAACAGTGGATGATCGAGTATTGAACCCGAAACTTCGAAGTGGTGTTCCATTAATACTCGACCCGAATTAAGCCCACTTTCAATTCAAAGTTTGAACTCTCCCAGACCCTGCTGAACATATCCATCCCACATATTCATCAAAAACGAACTTGTCAACTCTCCCAAAAGTTAAACCCATCCGAGACCTATCCAAGACAGCATCCAAATCCATCAACTGAAGTTTGTATTTAACCAGCAAAAATATTGAGCCCATTTACGCTCACTCAATCTCACCAGGTTCATCACTGTTGCCCCACGCCACAAGCAACCCCCTTTTCCCCCTGTGACTCTTCTTGATGCTAGGATAGGCGGTTAAGGTGGGGAATCAAATGCCTGCTCAGCTCTGTAGATATCAAAAAAAGTTTCACGACTAAATGACTTGTGCATCCTCCACTGAATTCCTTGATTGGGTGTGCATTTATGGGATACAAAGTAAAAACCCGGAATGAATTCCCAATTTTTCTCCAGTTTTTTTTTTGGCTGTAGAATCAGTTTGGGAAAACTGAGAAAACTGATTCTACATACAGCCAAACAAACTGGGAAAAGAACTAGATTTGATTCCGGGTTTCTACTTTGTATGCCACAATTGCATATAGGTGTGACAGACTAGAGGATGACTCTGGATGACTGCCTCCTTAATTTGGGTAGGCTCAAAGCCTAAAGGTGATTGAATTGCTACTGGATATTAATATATTCATACACTCAAGTTTTCCAAAATCCTAAAAGTTAACAACACTTCAAGTGTGTCTCAAATGAGATCAAAACATCAGTCAAAGAAAGAAAAAAGTGTTAATCCCCTGATGTCTGAAAAGTCTGAAACCTGCCTTGCTCCAACTAGATGACCAAATCTCTGAGATAAGCTAGTCACTCTCTTATTTGACTTGTTTAGTCAGTGTTATATGTAATGAAAAGAAAAATTCACTTTAAAAAATCAAATCAGAGGAGGAGACATGCTAAAAGTCTTTTGGCAGATCTCACCTTAATGTATCACCAAGTGATGCAGAGTGACCAAAGGGTTGTAAAATTCTGTGATGGCTAATATTACCAAACAAAATTTGGCTACATATATGATATGGCACACAGTATGTATATTCCCCTTTCAGAATTCAAAATCCAGAATTCACAAGAACCTGACCAGAACAGAGATTACCATCTACAGCATATGTTGACAACACAGATCCAGCTGCTCAGTGTCATTCCAAGTGTTGCATCCTCATTGCTTACTGGTATCGTTGTCCAACCTGGCTACATTTCCTCTGCACCCCCAGACAGGCATCCTTCCTTGATCTTTCCTAACACATCCACTTACCATGTTCAAATGGTTCTGTACATTATCAACGAGCTTATTAAGCCTGGCAATCAACAAAGGTTGTGTTATTACAAACAGATTGTGCTGTATCTCTTTTGCCTTGTTTTCTTAGATAATTCAAAGGGAAACCTGGTTAGAAATAAGCCACTGTGAAATAAGCAGTACATGCAACGCTGCCACAAATACAATACTGGTATCGTATTGACGATACTCAGTAAAGTAACGGGTCTACAATACTAGAGAAACTGAGCCTCAGTAACGTAGTTGTACCCACCATACGATACTCAGTAAAGTATCGCAATGGCAATACTGTGCCGCCCAATACCTAGTACCGTATCTTGTCACGATACCGATCAGATACTGATACTGTATCGTAGTATTGCACTCCCAGACACAAAATCAATAGAGATTTTGTACTCGATACTTCCTTGGGCCCATTCCAGTATCGTACTTGGGGGGCGATACGATACTAAGTAAAGTAACGCCATACACGATACTGCCAGGAGGATCGGGCAGTACCGTATTGTGGCTGCGATACTGATACTGACAATACGATACCCAAAAAAAAACTACGATACCGCTACGATACCAATACTGGTAAAGTAATTGTGGCAGTGTTGGTACATGAACCTCAATGAGGTCAATTTCTTACATTCAAAGCGTGTTTCAACTTTTAGAAAGTTAAGAGTCCTTTTAGCAAATTATTTCTAAAGACTTCAGTCCTTTGATATGATGGAGAATTGAAACTGCACCAAGAAAGGAGTGAGAATGATCGTGTTGATTACCACTCCAGCTCTCATTCCTCATAAGGCAAGAGCTAGAGGAAAGTCAAGTTAAATTCTACAATGAACCAGATCATTTCAAAATGTGGACCAAGTAGTTCATCAATTCCAATAGCTTAATATGGACAGTGAATACCTCATTTGATCCTTGTTGTATAGATGTCAAATCAGGAAGTAGATTTACTCAAACGCTCAGGACAGGAAATTGTTTCTCTTCTGAGATGCTCATAAATAAGATCATCATGAGCTTTTTGTTGACTTGTAGTATATTGATTTTTACCTTTTGGGCCACTCAACATTAACATTCATCATGCCATTCACCTATTTTTATCATACATTTTGGCAAATATGGAATTCCAGAGTATAGATGAAAATCTGTTATATGATGTGAAAATCTCTATAATGATCCATAGATCACAATATATCTTATGATAAAAGGACTTTAGAGCCTTGAGCAAGAAAACCATTGTTCCGAGTATGCTCTATAAGCATTCACAATGCAAGAGTAAACACACACTACCGTGGGGAACACCCTTTATTCTTGAATTCAGAGTAACATTCAGCATATTTGGGAACTCCCAAGTCTGCATCATCTATGTTTTCCAGGAGATGCAATTTTTTGGTTGACAGTGCAGAAGAGGTCAAGCTCAGGAAGGATACAGTAGCATATGGCTATTAAAGGTTCTGCACAATTCAGCCTGAGCCCTGGAACCAATGCACCAAGGGTTCCCTGAGCCCCAAACCCTTGGGGTGCGGGTTTGGTCAGGCTTTTTGGGACCCCAATTCATTGGGGGCACTGTAGGGTTTGGGGGGGGCATAGTCCTCAAACCTCCAATCTGATCCGCAGGGACCCCTGGCTTCCCACGGGTTATAGACATTTGGGATAGGGGTGGGGGGGCTTCTGAGGGCTGGGTTTTGATCAGTTTGGCGTAGGGTTTGGCCGCGGGGGGGCTTATTGGACATTGGTTTGGGGTGCGGGTAGGCCATTACCCACATCTTTTGAGTTGCAGCTCAGGCTGATGCACAATATGTACACTTAGGTCTTACAGTTGAAATTATCAACACCTGCACGTCAGAAAACGGCATGTAGCACATAGTAGCTGCTACTCAGTAGCAGATACAAAATTTCACAGCCCTTCCAGTGTTCCGGGGGGATCATGTCCAAAAGGGTTAAAAATCAATGAAAACCTTTTTTTAAAAATTTGCTCCCATTACAGGTCGTGAGTGACCTGTCATGATGGCCTCACTACACTACGGGTCAACCAGTTGATGGGTTAGGATTTCCATTCTTCATCCTCCCCAAGGACATTGTGCGGTTGGCTGCAAGATATCCTTGCAATATCTTTTTGGGCTGGCTGTCAAATAATGTGATATGCATGAGTCAAGCGTGAAAAATGTCCAACAGCTTGATCACATGTTGGCAGGACTCTGACACAAGTCAAGGTTGATGGCCAAAGCAGATACAGAAGGCCAGTCATTGGTGTTGGTCTCATCAATGATTTCTCAATCCCCATAGAAAAAAAAAATCTTGTGGCTCATATGGTGTTGCCCAAGCAATACATGCCAATACAATATGTTACAAATGAATTCCAATGTAAAAAAGGAAAAGTGGGACTCAAAAAAGGTATGCAGTCAAAGCCGTGCAAATGCATACCCACACAGGTGCATAACCTGTGATAATGGATAGAAAAAATCATCAATCTTGATGGTTTTTACTGCCAAATTTGACCACAGAATTGCATAACCCATCAAAATGCATAGCAAAAGTTGTCCCCCCAAATTATGTGTTTGCGCGGGTTTAACTGTACAGCACAATACAATTGTATCTGATGTGACTTTTGGTGAATCTTCAAGTGGTGCTGCTATACTACACGGCACACAATCAGGTGGAACCCATTGGAAGTTTTCATTGCCTTTTCTTACTACTTAACAAACCAAAAAAACAAATTCATTACTTTTTTTGATAGTTGAACCTAGAACCAAAAGCAAAGATATTGCACCAATATCCTGCTCTCATGCTCACAACCTCCTCTGTAAGGATAATCAATGCACATTGGCCAGATCTCCACTGGATGTCGCAAAACAGGATATTTGCCGGATATTGATTGGACTGTAGTGTAGTGATTTTGACATCTAGTAACTGGCTGCTTTGCCGGCAGGCCAGAACTGATATTCAGATTTGATCAAAGGACAGAGCCACATGCATGGAATGTACCAGTGGAATTGTACATATGATGTTCTGTTTACGGTTACCCCTGTCCCTTCTCTTTTTCTGCTTTTTCAATCTTTCCTTACACTGGAATCAATCTGATTGTCCATTTGTGTTCTTCCCTATTTCTTGCTTGTTCTGGTTTGACCTGCCAAGCC